ATTATTCTTACAACTTCTGTATTCTTTACACTTTTATCATAAATTTGCAGTTGTAGACAGTAAGCTAAAATTCTTCAATTGTGAGACAATTTAAATACGAACAAAATAATCCCCTGTGATTTTCACTGATGGCTTTATTGTGTTATAGTGTCGGAATAAAAAATGGCCGCTGACGGCTGAAGCATAAATTGTTAATGAGCTGTACTGATGTACGATAATTCTATCAACGATTGATTTTTAATCAATATCTGTCGTTGTTTCTGTTTTTTGTGTTGATACAAGCGGCCCGTAGATTTATATTGTATTTAGCAGTAATTGACACGTTTGTTATAAATTGTCACAATATAATGACTGGTAATGATTTTGTATTTATCACATTATCGTGAAATATTACCACTTAGTATAGTAACGTACTTCACAGTTATTTTGTCATTATTGCCGGTGTGTCGACTGTTTGACCAGTAATTGCCAGTCAAATAAACCCATGTCAACAGTTATACTGTTGAGTATATACCTAATTACAGGTTAAATAAAAAGATTTTTACCAAACTTGGTACGCATTTTATTTTTGCCATCGCTACCAAGTGTTGACAAACAAAGGCAAGATCAATATAATCTCTACTCTCTAAAATCCTCCGCTTTTCTGTTTTTACGTCTGCTTACTCTTTTTACGTCTGCTAACATTTTAAGGCAGATGGTTAAAGGAAACAGTCTTAAATATTTAACTACTATTAGTATTAATAAGTTACATTTCAATTATTGAGAAGTACAAAGTTGTAGTAGAATCGTAGGACCCAAATTAATTAAAACATCTAGGTAGAAAGCTTGCTTTAATTTACAATATCAACTGAAAGTATTTTATCTTGATGATGATTGAATAAATAAATACCTAAACAGTTTAGTTCATTAGCATTTAATGGAAAAAGTATTCTAGTGAGAAAATAGTAACCATCTGATTTCCTTTGTTTTAATCCCTCGGGAAAACATGACAATAAAAGTTCATAAAACATATATAAATATATACAGCTGTATTTAAATGAAGTGATTGAAGATAGTTATATGTGATGGGACATTATATGTAAGAGATGAAATATATTGTAAGGAATGAGGAGGAACATAGAGATAGGTCTGCACAGACGAAATGAGGGACATGAAGCCAGAGACAGAATAAGGGACATGGTGCTGGGACAGGACAGACAGATTAAGGGACATGGTGCAGGGACAGGACAGACAGTATAAGGGACACGGTGCTGGGACAGGAGGGACAGAGTAAGAAACATGAAGCCAGGACAGAATGGACAGAATAAGGGACATGGAGCTAGGACAGGATGGACAGAATAAGGGACATGGAGCTAGGATAGGATGGACAGAATAAGGGACATGGAGCTAGGACAGGGTGGGTAAAATAACGACCATGAAGCAAGGACAGGATGGACAGGATAAGGGACAAGGAGCCAGGATTGGATGGACAGAATGGACAGAATGAATGACATTGAAGCAGGATAGGACAGCCAGGATGGGACGGAAGGAGCCAGGACAGGAATAATAGAATGAAGGACATTGAGCCAGGACATGATGGATAGACTAAGGAACTTGACTCATGACAGAAAGACAGAATAAGTGACATGAAGGGAGGATGTGACGGAATTAGGGACATTGAGCCAGGACTTGACAGCCATGATGAGACAAATGGATTGAGGTACATGAAGCCAGGATATGACTGACAAAATTAAGGAAATGAAGCTGGGACGGGACAGACAGAATAAAGGACATGTAGCTAGGACTGGACGGACAAAATGAAGGACATGGAGCCAAGACAGGCTGGACAGAATGCGGGATATGGGGCACAGAAGGTTACATTGTTAGACTCTGCTCTATTATTGTCCTTATTTCTCTCTCCAGATTTTATCTGTTAATCAGGTTTCCCTTTGTAGTTTTCATCAGCTTAATTAAGAGATGAAATTGGTTGATCAATCTCATATATACTTTATTACATATGCAAGCTGGTTATTCCTGCTGGGATTTTGGCTTAGAAAAAAAATTAATTGAGAGGGTTTTCGGGAGAGAAAAAAAAAGAACCTTTAGTATCTGTTACACTTCATGCGATCTAAGGAATAATGCCAGAATAGTTTTCCTTACATTTTTCTTTCTTTCTGTATTGAAATCTGATTGGTTAGTATTTATTCATATCTAATAAAATATCTTATAGTTGACCAATGACAGGCTTGCTTTCTTAAGCTGGTTTTAGCATGATAAAGATGTATAATTTCACTGACTTGTTTGTAATTTTCCTTACAATAAAAACGCAATCCTATTTATTTTTTCTAGCGGATACATTTGAAACAGTTTAAGGAATATTACATCTGAAGGTGAAAGTTTATGTAGCCTATCTTTGCATTGTATACTATTTAATCTCCTTCCCCCTTGAAATAAAAATTTGAGCCGCGTCATGACAAAATCAACATAATGGGTATGCGACCAGCATGGATCCAGACCAGCCTGCGCATCGGCTCAGACTGATCAGGATCCACGCTGTTCGCTTACAGACCCTATAACAAGTAAAGAAACTGATAACGAACAGCATGGATCCTGATCAGGCTACGCTGATGCGCAGGCTGGTCTTGATCCATGCTGGTCGCAAACCCATTATGTTGGTTTTGTCGTGACGCAGCTCAAATCTGTTGCTTTAAGTTTTAGTGCTCATTTTTTTGTATTATAGCCTTCATTAGACGTGCAGTAATTTGAATCAGCTCGGTTCAACTTTTATTGTGTTTCTGTATTGTGAAAAGTTTTGGCATGCATATACATTTACAATGTAGTCAGTTGTATTTTTTTTTCTTGTTATATATTTTTTAATAGGTTATAAAGTCACACCGACTTTTGCACTTGCACTCTGTACTTTTAACTTTAGCTAAATATCATAATTGGACTTGTCCATCATAAAATCTGGATGAAACCATTGGTAATTTATAGGGGAGATTTCAAAATAAGTACCGACTGAGGACCGGACGTGCAGACCATGATCAGACTGGTTGGATATACCAGTTTATCTTGGTCTGCACTGGCTGCATGGGTAAATTTGATTGCCATCAGCAGAGTGTGGTCAACCAGATCTATAATTATTTATATGTACATGTATATAGGCTTGATTTTAAAAGAAGTTTAATCTATGCATCACATTTTAATCGCTTTCAAGTTAAGACCACTTCCTGAAACTTAAATCAGTACTGGTGTCATATAAGTCACATGATAGAATAAGGTTGTGACCCAAACAGGTCTCCACCCACAATCCCTGTTGTTTAGAGACTGACTCTACATTAATTTAATGGTATAGATCATGTAACCTTCTAGGCTCTACATTAGTTTAATGGTATAGATCATGTAACCTTCTAGGCTCTACATTAATTTAATGGTATAGATCATGTAACCTTCTAGGTTTAATGGCATCCACTGGCCATAATTTTCAAGACATGATAAAAGAATGATAAGTCATTTGTAGGGATTCAAACTCACAGTTATTATGGGTTAGAATTTGAAGCTGGCGCTTTATACAACATGACCAGTTTAGGGTCCATTTCTTGTTATTTTGCATTATTATCACCTCTACGCCATATTATTTTGTCTTTTTTTTTACTTAAAAATGATGACAATACTGACTAGGATTTTCATTGGTCAGAGTACATCCTGTGTCTGTTTCCTGTAACCAATCAAAAATCAGAGATCAAAGTTTGGGCTGAGAAATTTGTTTTATAACCTCGTACCCTGTAATCCTTGACATGCATTTATATGAAAGATATTGACATAACAGATACCATGAATTTGAGAAGAGAATTAATTTTCCTTTTCTTTATTTATTGAATAAGATAAGGTTACGATCATCACATTTTTGTGCACTTTTTCTTTGTCTGCAATAATTTTGTGAAAGTTGCAGACGTCACTTAATATTGACTTTTACTATTACTGTCTGGGAGTTTTAGTTTGTTACAAACAAAATAAGTTGTCAGACAAATTTGATAACCAAGTTATAGTTTATTACATTCACACTGTTTCCGTCTTTATGTTCAATTATTTTAGACAAATTATTATTTGCCTAGATATATAAGCTAGAAGTTAGCTTATTTATTTTAGAATTTTGTTTATTCTCGTAGATATTGATAAATCCACATTGATCAACGGTCCACTCTTAAATTATCTTGTCCAATATTTACCCCGACAATTGTTACAATTTTCTCTTAAATTGTCTGTCACAATTTGATAGACTTAGTACTAAAGTTATTTTATCTCAACAATCCTTTATTGACTATAGTCCACGTTTTATTACGAAATTTATAATATTTTCTGTCAATATAAGATAAAGATGGCGTGAAATCTGACACAATCAAAGGCAATTTAACTGACAGGTGCAACTTTAATTGAATTAATGATATAAAATATTGAGAAAATATAAAGTTATCTTGAATCAAAAGCTGGAAAGAATTCAATAAATTACAATTATTACCCAGATAACGGGACGGTTTATTTATCATTTCTATCAATATTTCATCAATCAAGAATGATGTGTTTCCATGTTGCTTCAAAATGTTTAAAATTAAATAATTTAAAAAGAATATTTTTTTCATTAATAAAAATTGAGTTAATCAATCAGACATATTTATTTAACTTTTGTTAAATTGATATTTAAGTTAGTGACATACTTTAATTAAAAGGTGTGTTCTGAAACAAAGCTTTTTATCGATTTTTTTTTTTAATTTCATAGATACATGTATTACATTAAAAAAAAATTTTTACAAAAAAAGCCATGATTTTTACCTGTATGTATCGCCTTTTTGCATGGCATTTAAAGATCACAGATAAAAAACACACACACAATAAAACTACAAAATTGTTTGCATGTTTTACCAAATTGTAATTAATATTATATTTACATATATCTATAACTAAGTATGATATAAAAGATATTTATGACTTATTTAATTGAAATTTAATTGTTATTTTAACAGGTACCATACCATGAACGACAGACCAGCCAGCAGATGAAGACTTTTCAGCTACAACAAGCCTTACTCAACTCTCAGACTAAACCTTCAGTACAGGCAAACGGTCATAACAACAAAATGGTAAACAAATATTTTACTTTATTACAATGATCATGTCTTGTGGTGGTGTTGGTGTTGGTAGTTTTCATTCCGAATCATGGCAGTAAGCCACATTGAATTTACCAGAGAAAAGTCAATTTGCCGCATCGTTCCTCAGGGCAGGCTGTCAAGCTGTTTACCAGTACTAGTTGCCTTCACTTTCACAAGGAACTGAAACTTCTGTACATGCCAGAGCAGAGGTTTAGAGCGAATGGCCGTAGAAGAGATTTCATGATCTATCAAATTAAAGTGACCTGCACCATCCTGGAATAGAACCAAGATCGCCCAATTCACAGCTCAACCCTCTACCTTAATTGAGCTAACCAGACGGTTTATTATGATCAGGTCTCTGTCCTGCTCTCTTCTTTATACCTTCACCTGCTGCATTTGTGAAATGGATTCATCCAGCTTTGTATTTGGAATGGTCCATTTGAAAATTCAGGGTATTTTAACATCAAGATACAAAAATTGATCCACCAACAGTATAGAGCCTGGAAATGCTGCAGGGTTGTGCAGGCTGGCCTGGCTCTATACTGGTGGCACAGTCTTAACACTTTTGATACCAGCAGGATGAGGGTTAAGGGTTGTCAGTACCAAAACATTAACATTGATCTGCGCATAAGCCGTCCGTTAGCTCATTAGGTAGAGCTTTGGACTGTGAATCGGGCGACTCTTGTTCAATCCCTGGGATGGTGCAGGTCACTTTCATTGTAATTGTTGATGATCATGAAATCTTTTCCACGGTCATGGAATTCACACTCTATCTCTGCTGAAGAATAATTAAGAGAAATTGATGCCAAAGGGAAATTGATGCCAAAGGGATCAGAACTTTTGAATGCCCTTAAATAACCAAAGTTTGATGAGTAGGATTGCTTTTTACCTGACCTTAGGTGCCCCTTTGTGCAGTTATATCAGGCACAAACAGGAACCCAAGTAGAACCACCAACATTACATTAGCAAACTGTTGGTTATGAATTCAACAATTAATTAAAAGATAACAAAAAGAATGTTTAAGGGAAATTAATGCAAATGAGATAAAAAATTTGAATGTCGAGTAGGATTGCTATTTACTTGAGCTATTGAGGTTTTTAATTTGACAAAATGAATGTTATTTAGCCAGAGTTAATACCCCTGTTTCTATTTTAAATAATGACTTTGATATATTTCTCTGCCATGATATTTTGCTGGGAATAATGATTTCTTAATTGTTTACCATTAACATTTAATGAATTTGATTGTAATGTTTTAGTAATAATTTATTAAATTATTACCTGTGTCTTTGATGTGGTAAATGATAACTATTCTTTGATGTGTAAAAGTATTATATAAATTTCATTAATTTTAATTTTTCAGTTATGTTCAGCGTTTTAAAAGAAGCTTTCCAAAATAGAAAACATTTAGAATAAAATTATCATTAAAACTAAATCAATTCCTAATGCTATTTCATTAACTTAAATGAAAATTCCATGACTTTAAAATTGTGAAGGTCTTGATTACAACTTGGCCACCTGTAATCATAGAGTCTCCATGGAATCTAGTTTCAAATTATTTGTTTGAAATTGATGAAAATAATGGCGGAATGTTTTGAAAAACGAGAAATTCTATTGGTTATTGCTAATGGTATTTCATATTGTATAGTAGTCGGTGATTATTGAGACCTGAGTGTGTCACAGTTTGTCGTGTTAAATTTACGCGATTTTAACCGAGATCATTTAAATGACAATCCAAATGTTGGCGAGCATTTATTTTCATACTGTGTCCCCTATATGCTACCATTCAAAGATTTTCTCAGTCTCCCTTTAATTAGAAACCCTCTCAGTCCCCTAATTTAGATATGAAACAGTTTAATCAAGTCAAAAAAGGGGCCAATTGCCGTTTAATCGTAACTAATGGAATAGCTCTGCATATAAAGGGTTGTTTAAAGGGGGCTGTTGAGGAAGCCTATTATTTCATGCTATTTGCATATATTGTACATTGTTAACAAACAATCATGAAGTTAAGGGGAAAGATGGGCTTTATTTTATGCCATGCAGATGAGCACAACTGTAATTATGAATGCAAATATATGCCAATATGTAATATATCATTTCACTAAATTAAGGTGTGAACTACATTCCATAGAAGCTTTGTTTTGGTTTTCCGTGCACAATAATGTCTCTGTTCAGCAGGCTTAAATAGAAAATGTATCCTTCTCCAAGACATTGAAATTTATCCTTGTTTACTGAAAAAAAAATAAATGTTTTATATTGATTTAACCCTTAACCCTCTATTATCTAGAATGGACAATTTCAAAATATACACATGTACTGAATTAGTAGTGAACAACGCCAACAATGATCTTGGTCAGGGTAAATTTCTTGCCACAAACAGGCTAAGGTCGGTAATTATTTTAAAATTAAAGGATGTTACTTATAGATATATATACGTATAAAATGATGATTTAAGAAGGAATGTTGATTTTATAATTTATTATTTCAGGGCATATCTGATTTTACAATTTATTATTTCAGGGCATACCTAATTTTATGATTTATTATTTCAGGGCATACCAAATGAGAAGGATACAAACAGTGACACATCACGGGAAACAGTGACCAGTGACAGTGGACGTGGAGGCAGTGATGATGATCTCCCTTTGTCACATAATTCTAGTAAAGGTAACCTCCCTTTTTATCATGGAAGAGTTCTCACTTTTACACTGAATTTAAGTAAATTTTATGTAATATTTTAGCATCAGTGGTGTTTCGATGCCTAATGTCTCACGATTTCACAGTAAATTCAACGTCTCAAAAAGGACAGTATACATTTTAAAAAAATTTTGTAAAACAATTGCATTACTGACTCTATTTCTCCGCAAGTCAAATTACAAGTCCTGAATTCTTCTTTGATACCAAAAAAAAAATTCTTGAAATCTTGTCCAAGAGAAGACACGCCGACTTTCCCTTTCCGTCGTATTGAAAACGTTCTTGTCTCCCTTCATTTATCCTGAGAATTTATCGTATAATATCATGCCCTTATATATCAGTTTCCAATAACCAATCTCTCCGTCACAATTTCTCTGATAGCAGGATACGTTACGGCAGACGACATTGTAATAGGATTCTGGGAAGATAGATGAAGAATTATTCAGCGTGTAAAATTTGATTGTAATTCTTCTGTTTATTTGTCTGTTTGTAATTTTCCTAATCTTATTCCAGCCAGTATAATGTATTTCTATCCTAATCCAAAATTTTTGTCAATTTCCTTGAAGTCTTTTTTGCCCATGAATTATTTGTATATAGCCATGCATAGTTGGTTATTTGTGAGTTATCGGTTACTATGAGTTATCTGTTACTATGAGTTATCGGTTACCTATGAGTTATTGGTTACCTATGAGTTATCGGTTACCTATGAGTTATCTGTTACTATGAGTTATCTGTTACCTATGAGTTATTGGTTACCTATTAATTATCGGTTACCTATGAGTTATCATTTATCTGTGAGTTATTAATAACATGTGAATAATCAGTAACATAATTATGATTTATCAGTTTTATCAGTTACCTTTGAGTGAATTATTAGTTACCTTTGAGTTATCAGGTACTTATGAGTTATCTATTACCTATGAGTAATCTCTAACCTTTAAATTATCAGTTACATATGGGTTACCGCAGTAACCTTTGAATTATCAGTTTGTTACCCTTGAATTAACAGTTATCTATAAATTATCAGTTATCATTACTAATGAAAAATTGTTTGCAGGTCTATGAGTAATTTGTTTGGTACCCATCTAGAAATAACCAACCATGAATATTGTCCTTTCAATTACTTGGTAACTACAACACTTTGATTTTATATACAATGTATTTATTTGTATTACAGTGTTATTTTAATTTTGTCTTTAATCTTTTTCAGATGAAAAAGACCCTCATCTTCCAAGCAGTGGTGAAAAATCAGAGTTTATAAAATTTTCACAGCCAAAAAAACATTATCATAGTAACTATGTGCCCTCGGATTCAGGGACACAAAACTATCCACTCACTAATCTACAAAACTGTTCACTACCACCACATAGAAATTCTAGACCTCAATCCACAGATCTCACTGAAAGAATTCCAAATAATAAATTTCCGATGGAGAGATCTTTATCGAACTTGGTAGAAGGTGAAAAACCAAAGTTTACAGTGAGAAAACCCTATATTGACAGAGAAAAAAGGGATAAAAAATCTGAAAGCTGGGTACCATCATATGTTTAAATTTGGGTACCTTCTGACTTATAACTGAGAAGAGGGTATTTCAATTACATCAGTGCCATAATTGACCAAATAGATGAAATTAAATTACTTTTGGTAACCATACAAATATAGGTATTTTGTTATGCAAATATCTGTATTGGCTTCACCCAGAGACAAAAAGTGATTGGTACCCAATCACAAATACTAGTAATGACTTGGTTGACTGGGTACAACAGGATTTTGTTTTCGAATGAACCAGGCAAAAAATAATGTGTTTCCCAAAAGACAGTGCTAGACATTGTGCCGAACCTGGTACATTTTACTGATAGCTTGGTTATAAATAAGACCAAGGTGATGTGAATCTACTCTCTGTTAAAAATTGAACTTGAACTTATTAGAGAAAAGGTGCTGAAATGGAAGAAAAAAAACTCATGTGAATTCCATGCAAGTTTGTGTAGAATTGCTATCTGATGGAGTCATGGTTGTGAAGAAGTTGTACAGTGTATGCTGATATTTCGAACAATTAAAATGACTTGTGTTGCTTGTTTTAGTGCTGCCAGTTTATGTAAATGTTAATCAAAAATGATCTGAGATTTTGTGATTTGTCTATTGCCACATAGTTTAACTCTACCATACTTAATATCTTAAATGGACTTGTCAATCTTTCAATCTGGCTAAATATCGTTGATCGTTTTTAGGGAAAGTTTCAAAATAAATACATGCTCTGAATGTATAGCAAACAGTGCAGACCATGATCAGTCCTCTGATTTTGGTCTGCACTGGTGATAGGGGTAGATTCAGTCACATATTCTACCCATGTGACCAGTGCAGACTAGGATAAGCCATCACATCCATGTCATCTGTACCTAGTGCACTGTTTGGTATAAAGTCTGTACTTATCTTAAAAATTTTCCTTAAAAATTATAAATGATCCATTAAAAATATTTAGAATGGAAACTGTTAACGGGTTTATTATATTGACCAGGATCAGCTGTCACATCCATCATCGAGACATCTGATCCTAGTCTGTTTGGTGTTTCATATACAGTCGGTACAAATTTTAAAATTTTCCTTTAAAATGATAAATAATCCATTAAAAATATTTAGCATTGAAACTGTTAAATGATTCACTATGTATAACACGAATGTACAAAGATTTGAATTTTTTAATAATATCTTGGTCATGAAAAATTATGTAATTTCCCATACCTTAATCTCGGTACGTTATTTATCAAGAAAAAAAATATCAAGAAAATGGAAGATTGTCCTTTTCTAGGCAATTTCTTATTTCATTACAGAATGATAGCGGTATCTTGTAAATGATAGAGCCGTCAGAAAACCGTCTCTAAATTTTGTCAGGTAATCAATGGTTAATTTGTGTATATAGAAGCATATAGACACACATGGCTGATGTCAGATCTGTAGACCAAATATAATATCTGATACAAAAAGCAGGATATAAACATCACATCGGTGCAATATTTTAAATATTTTTTACATGTTTTGGTATTTTTTTTTATATAACATGATTTTTTTTCAATGTAACTCAGATATGTTTCTAGAATACATTGTGTGTCAGGGGAAATAACTTTTGTTTTCCTTTTAAACTTGAAAAATAGTACCACTCTGAGACAGTAAATTTTTAAAACAAGGGTAGTTTTATGGGGGCAGGTCTGCTTTTCTGTTTTGCTGATGTAAAAAGTTAAGTTTACAGTTAATTTTTAGTTTCAAACTGAATTTCAAATTTGAAAGATATCTTCTTGCTGTTTTAAAATTGGGAAAACAAACATTTTAGTAGTGCCAATTTCCATTTCATTGATTTGTAATTCTGAGTTAACAATTAGTTGGACTAATGTGAAGGCTGCTTCCATATGACAGTCAACAAAGTTGCGTTTGAACTAAAAAGAAACTATCCCATACATAGTAAACATGCTTCAAAGATGTAGAGTTTCTACATGTGGCAATAAACAGATCATACCTATATGTAAATCATGCAACAATTCTGTGATATATGATATGATAAACTATTTATTTTACATGTTTCATATAACCTTTGTCACCTAGTTTTACATGTTTCATATAAACATATCACCGAGTTTTATATGTTTCATATAAACTTCTGTCATGGAGGTTTACATGTTTCATATAAACCTATGTCACCAAGTTTTACTGTTACATGTAAACCTTTGGCACTGGTTTTTTATGTTTCATATAATCCACTGTCACCGAGTTTTACATGTTTCATATAAACCTCTGTCACTGAGTTTTACATGTTTCATATAAACCTTGGTCACTGAGTTTTACATGTTTCATATAAATCTTTGTCACTGAGTTTTACATGTTTCATATAAACCTTTGTCACTGAGTTTTACATGTTTCATATAAACCTCTGTCACTGAGTTTTACATGTTTCATATAAACCTTTGTCACTGAGTTTTACATGTTTCATATAAACCTTTGTCACTGAGTTTTACATGTTTCATATAAACCTTGGTCACTGAGTTTTACATGTTTCATATAAACCTTGGTCACCAAGTTTTACATGTTTCATATAAACCTCTGTCATCGAGTTTTACATGTTTCATATAAACCTTTGTCACTGAGGTTTGATTTTTGACCTGTGTCCTGTGAATGAATTTCGTTCTTATGATGACGTCACTTAACCATTATGACTGGAGTTGTAAGTTCATAGGCTACTATAAGAAAAAAGTGCGTAATGAAAAGATCAGTCTTCGTAATTTCTGTTCTGAAAATAATTGATATGTAATATGCAAGAAAAAGAATCAAACACCGGCTGTCGGGTGCAGAAGGGAATATCTAGCTCTCGGGTAACTGTTTAGAGGTAACTCGGCAGAGCCTAGTTACCGCCGTAAACAGTCACTCTCGAGCTAGATATTCCCTTCTGCACCCGACAGCCGGTGTAAGATTCATATATGGTCAACCAGTTTTACATGTTTCATATAAACCTCTTTCATTGAGTTTTCAAATCTCATATAATCCTCTGTCACAGAGTTTTACATGTTTCATATAAACCTTTGTCACCAAGTTTTACATGTTTCATATAAACCTCTGTCAATGAGTTTTACATGTTTCATATAAACCTCAGTCTGTCACTGAGCTTTGATTTTTGACCTGTGTCATGAGAAAAGGAACCATCATGTTAAGATTACATCACTTTAGAGAATTATTGTTCATTATGACATTAATACATTTAATCTGATGTTATTTTCTTTATTATAAAGCATTTTAAATGAGATTTGTAAAGAAATAGTGGGTATATAATTATTATATAAACACAGTCCTTATAATATGGTTTGTTTAACATATTTTATTTAGCAAATAACAAGCATGTATCATTTTACATCACAATATTGTGGAATCATATGAGCCGTGCCTTGACATAACCAACATAGTGTGTTTGCGACCAGCGTGGATCTAGACCAGCCTATGCATCTGCGCAGACTGATCAGGATCCATGCTGTTGGCTTCCAAACCATTTAACAAGTAGAAACTGATAGCGAACAGCATGGATCCTGATCAGACTGCGCGGATGCGCAGGCTGGTCTGGATCCATGCTGATCGCAAAAGCACTATGTTGGTTTTGTCATGGCACGGCTCGTATATGGATTGAAAAATATGGTTAGGTCAAGGGTTCAAACCTTAGTAATGTTTATACAATATTCTATTCAGATAAAAGCTAAGCTTGAAATGTAGCTGAGTTTACTGAAAATAAAACTTTAGTAAAGAAGTTTAATTTATTCATTAAATGAAATTGAATATTTGAATATTTTATTACAAATGTATAAATTTTTCATGATGGTGATTCTAGTTACATTTTTTTACATTATGGTACCTTTTGACATAACATTTCTCAATTTTGTATAAAGACTATGATTGTATCAAGTTATCAAAAAAACTTATGAAACATACTTCAATATTAAAAGTACATAAACATTGTTTATTTTGATGAAATGTAAATGCTGTGTTTAATTTAATGATATCAGTTTTTCTAATTTTATTCCAAATTTTCACCCCCGTTTGTTAATGGAATTAAGCTTCTTTTAAAGTATGTGACAATAATATTTGTGCGAAACTTAGTTTTAACTGCACATGAAATTAGAGTCAAATACCAGTATTGGGTGGATATTTTGTATTGTTTTATATTAAATTTCCATTTGTTTCATATTTTTGTTTACTTTTATAATGTGTTCACATTACAATAAATACATACGAGTATAGAGATATATACAGTGTTATTTTTACAATCTCATGTCCTGTCACAGACTTCCTGAAAGTTTGAAAAAAAATGTTTAAGACTTTCCGTCTGACAAGCCATGGAATTTTGTCAGACCAACAAAAAAGAATGCTCAGACTAACACCATCTTAACTTATATAATAAAATCACTGTTTCATTAAATTTCATTAAATTACCAAAGAGACCATCTTGCATGTTTAGATTCATAAAAATACGGTGTATTTCATGATTTTAGTGTCCCTTGCTCCTAAATAAAATAACTTCCGCCAATTGGACAGACTTTGTGTAAAAATCTTTGGACCTTGGGAAAATTGGTTGGTCATGTCCATCTGTCCAATTGTTTTCAAGAAGTTTTCCATGAATCATGACTGATAAACATAATAATGTTAACACAATGCAAAATATCGCTACGAATAATTTCGATGAAATTGAAGACTTAATCAGTTTCCTTTTATGTTTTAATGTATTAGACAATATATCAGCATTAAAATAAATTGAAGAATTGAATTACCCCAAAGATGGATTAAATTACCCCAAAGATGTACTATCATTCCCAATTGTCTTCATTTAACAAGAACACTCAGATTAAATAAGCTGTTTAAAGAAGTCAGTGCCTTCTTGTGTGATTATTTATCCCAAACACCAGACAAAATTACCAGAAAATGCAAGTCTTAACTGATAATGGAGGAAATTTTTATAATCATTTTTTAAATTTTTTTTTGATCATTTAAAACTGGGGAAACTTTTTGAAAATACTCGGCTGTTAAATTGTCTGAGATTATTTTAATCTTTTCACAGTAAATGTTAGTTTTATTAAAGGGAAGTAAAAGTTGGAGATGAAGAATTGAAAATAAACTTGAGCAATTTTAAGATGTTAACCCATTACTTCATATACACGCCTTTTAACGCCTTTTTCACCCCCCCCCTTTTTGTTGTCTCAAATGGTGAAAAAATGCCTTATTTAGGCCCCCAACACTTGATTTTGTTTGAGAAATGTTGTTAAAAAAAGTGACCACTTTTTCGGCGCGGCCCCTCAACCAAAAGATACATCAGGGGGTTGCCAGAAGGGGGATGTGCCCCCTTCTGTTTGGGGGGTTTGAAGGGGGGCGGAGTCCCCCTCATCGCCAAGAAAATTTTGGACTTGTGAGAGGCTATAAATGACCTCAGATTGATCATAAGGTAACGTGTAACCAACGCTGAAAAGCATTTGACTCTATCTCAATCCATTGAGAAGTTGCAGCACTTTGAAATCAATTATGATGGAAAAAATCAACGCAAAATAGTGATTTTTGGCAATTTTGAGATGTCCCCTCGTTGCCATGGTAACAGAAAATTTAAGCCTGAGCATGTTGCTGCAAGGGCAATGGTCCAGTCAACATTTGTGCCAAGTTTGATTAGTGTAGAAGCAGTTTTTATAGTATTATAGCAATTTGAACTTGTAACGGGAGACTTTTCAATGAAAACAGCCATTTTTCACAAAATGCTCATGAAGTAATGGGTTAATGAAAAAAATAAAAAAATCTACAAAACAACAATTTTTCTTCAAATATATATGACAGGCCATGTTTAAACATGGAAAACGCGATTTAGGGTCATTTCAAGTATTTCCATCATTTTCTGTTAACCCATTACTTCATATACACGCCTTTTAACGCCTTTTTCACCCCCCCCCTTTTTGTTGTCTCAAATGGTGAAAAAATGCCTTATTTAGGCCCCCAACACTTGATTTTGTTTGAGAAATGTTGTTAAAAAAAGTGACCACTTTTTCGGCGCGGCCCCCCAACCAAAAGATACATCAGGGGGTTGCCAGAAGGGGGATGTGCCCCCTTCTGTTTGGGGGGTTTGAAGGGGGCGGAGTCCCCCTCATCGCCAAGAAAATTTTGGACTTGTGAGAGGCTATAAATGACCTCAGATTGATCATAAGGTAACGTGTAACCAACGCTGAAAAGCATTTGACTCTATCTCAATCCATTGAGAAGTTGCAGCACTTTGAAATCAATTATGATGGAAAAAATCAACGCAAAATAGTGATTTTTGGCAATTTTGAGATGTCCCCTCGTTGCCATGGTAACAGAAAATTTAAGCCTGAGCATGTTGCTGCAAGGGCAATGGTCCAGTCAACATTTGTGCCAAGTTTGATTAGTGTAGAAGCAGTTTTTATAGTATTATAGCAATTTGAACTTGTAACGGGAGACTTTTCAATGAAAACAGCCATTTTTCACAAAATGCTCATGAAGTAATGGGTTAATGAAAAAAATAAAAAAATCTACAAAACAACAATTTTTCTTCAAATATATATGACAGGCCATGTTTAAACATGGAAAACGCGATTTAGGGTCATTTCAAGTATTTCCATCATTTTCTGTTAACCCATTACTTCATATACACGCCTTTTAACGCCTTTTTCACCCCCCCCCCCTTTTTGTTGTCTCAAATGGTGAAAAAATGCCTTATTTAGGCCCCCAACACTTGATTTTGTTTGAGAAATGTTGTTAAAAAAAGTGACCACTTTTTCGGCGCGGCCCCCCAACCAAAAGATACATCAGGGGTTTGCCAGAAGGGGGATGTGCCCCCTTCTGTTTGGGGGGTTTGAAGGGGGCGGAGTCCCCCTCATCGCCAAGAAAATTTTGGACTTGTGAGAGGCTATAAATGACCTCAGATTGATCATAAGGTAACGTGTAACCAACGCTGAAAAGCATTTGACTCTATCTCAATCCATTGAGAAGTTGCAGCACTTTGAAATCAATTATGATGGAAAAAATCAACGCAAAATAGTGATTTTTGGCAATTTTGAGATGTCCCCTCGTTGCCATGGTAACAGAAAATTTAAGCCTGAGCATGTTGTTGCAAGGGCAATGGTCCAGTCAACATTTGTGCCAAGTTTGATTAGTGTAGAAGCAGTTTTTATAGTATTATAGCAATTTGAACTTGTAACGGGAGACTTTTCAATGAAAACAGCCATTTTTCACAAAATGCTCATGAAGTAATGGGTTAACGCATGTAATGACACGAGACTTTTAAAGTGTTAATGCAAATAAATGAAAGCTTTTTGGCGAAAACAGCACAAATTCAAGAGGATTTCTTTGGTGTTTCTGTTTTCTACAACATACACGTGTAGTGTTTATATACGTGTTTATTACAAAGAATTTCATTTTAAAACTTGCAGCAATTATGGTGTCTCTAAAGCCGGAGAAAAAGTTTGATATATTGGCAATAATAATTCTTGCAGCCAATTTCAATTTTCAATTGATTATAAAAACATGTGAAGAAGTTGTCAGTAAATGGTGGAGAAAATAAAAGTTCTGTTAAAGAAATTGGAATTTTTTTAGTCTATAATGACGTATAATAATAATGATAATAAAGACTTTATTTAAAGAGGCAACATAGTTAGGCATGCCCAGTCTTCCCTATGAGCCTCTAATCTGCTAAAAAAGAGCACTATGTTAGATGTTTCTTTTGTTGTTTTTTTTCAAAACTGGCATTTAACTAAAAACATGTGGAGAAGTTGTCAGTGAATGGTGGAGACAATAAAAGCTTTGGTAAAGAAAAAGGAAACTTTGTAGTTTATACTAATTTTGTCTGCTAGATTCAATATGACAAGTTTTTTTTTCAAAACTGTGGCATTTAACTAAAAAGGAGCAAATATAATTTAAAAAATATTGTTAGTCAATTTGTCAGAAGAGCATCTCAGGGCATTTAAAACTTAATCTGCAAATCAATGCTACTTAAACTAAGGAGCCACTTATTGTAATGGAAAGACATGATTTCAGAATTCATTATATTTTACTTCTTTCTTTTGAATATACATTTTCCATGACATATGACATTAATGTCATTTCCTGTAAGATGAAGATGTTCAAGTCGAAACATGTTGTTTTTTTTAAAATAAAACAATACATTTTAAAATTGAAACTGATTCAAACTTACATTAAGAATATACAATCA